ATGGATAAAGCCAGGGCCCGTTCACATCTACTAGGCAAGCCTAGAAGGTTACTTGGACCAGCAGAACTGGGGGAAGCATGCCAAAAGAGTGGGCCACAGGTAGCCCAAGGTCCAGGGTAAAGAGGGAACTGAACCAGTGTTCCATGTGTACCATGCTGTGATGAACTGCAAAGGAAAGCAGGATTTTTAACATGCTGGTTGGTACAGAAAGTCAGGGAGGTTAGGAGTTAATCTTCCCTGGAGAGAAGAGCTAGGGTGATTGGCTGCTCTGCTCACTCTCTGATTGGCTAGCATCATCTGAGAGATATATAAAACAGCTGATCTGGACTTCCAGTTGATGCAGCAGCAAGGTAATGTCCCAAGGAGCTCCTGGGACGTTCTGAACTGACCCACTTTTTGGGGGGTCTAGAGGACTGTAGACCAAAGGAGGCCCCTGGAGGGCATCTCTGAAAACAGTGGGGTGCATTGATCAGCTGCAAAGGGGTGCCTGATCAGCGGAGTTCCATCCGCATGCCTTAAGTGGTAACCATCTTAATAACTTGAAGTGCAGCAACACCCCAGGTTGCAAAAATTGACCCTTATTTAACTGCCAGATAAATGGATTGCCTCTGGTCTTCTAGAGTTCCCTTTCCTCAATACCTTCATAGAATGCTTTAGTAATTCCACTACATTTACACAGCAATGTTTGCATTTGCACAGATTGTGATTTGCAAGGCACTGCCCAATGTTCATAGGCTTTTTGTTTGCACTGATCAAGTGAAGTAATTTATTGATATTCCTGGGTAGCACTGCCAGCTGCCTGGAGAAAAAAGAAGCCCTGTCCCTCTAATGGGATGTTAGTTATCCAGTGATGTTATTTACCTCCATGCCATGAAAAACTACAGCTGAACATTTCCATGCATTAAGTCTCCATTAAACAGACAAGCCTTTTCTCCTTGGATCTTTTGGTAACCCTGTACCCTAAAAAAATAGGAAATTGAGGCCTAGAATTGTCACTGGCTAAAGTCTATATCAGAAGAGAGTGTCTCTGATCCAGTTCCAGATGCACAGGATTGTCAAACAATAGGAAAGCTGGGTCCTTCTCTATGTGCCTTGGAGCTCCTAAAATAACTTTCCACCGTTTACAAGCAGATCTGAACAGGGAGACATCCATTGTTTTAAAAGTCAAGTGACTGCCCCAATAAGGCATTTTGAAATACTTCTTGATATTTTTTGAGAGGGAACAAAGATGAGAGACAGTTTGTAAAGCCTGCTCACCCCCCTCCTTTTTTGCTCACTACGTGCATTTTACTTTCACTTTTGCGTATCTTCCTGAGATGGAGAAAAGCTGTACTTAAAGGGAGTAAATAAGTTAGAAACAATCAGAAATGGACATCTGAACTGGATTTGGTGGGGGGGGGGTTGTTGAGGGGAAAGGAAGACTGCAGAATGTAAGCTGGATGGTAACTAGAACTAGCAATTAGAAGTTAAAAACTATTTTGCTACCCACCTTGGTTGGATTATAAATCTGCCCACTTTGGTTGGACTATAAACCTGAAAAACACTGGATACTCTTATACCTACCTTTGGATATAAATTTGAAAAACACTGGCTGTATTTTCCACATTTTTTGCTGGATTTTTCCACCTACCTGTTAGACTTTGTTGGATTTTACCTGGATTTTACCTGGTTGGAATATAAAAAGTCTGGATTTCCTTCATTATTCTCCATCTGCTATTGGTTTTGGATCTGCTCATGTATGGCTGTGAGAGTTGGACTATAAGGAAGGCCGAGCGCCGAAGAATAGATTCTTTTGAACTATGGTGCTGGAGGAGACTCTTGAGAGTCCCTTGGACTGCAAGAAGATCAAATCAGTCAATCCTAAAAGAAATCAACCCTGACTGTTCCCTGGAAGGCCAGATAATGAAACTGAAGCTCAAATACTTTGGCCACCAAATGAGAAGGGAGCACTCACTGGAGAAGACCCTGATGCTGGGAAAGATTGAAGGTCAAAGAAGATGGGGACGGCAAAGGATGAGATGGTTCGACAGTGTCATAGATGCAATGAACATGAAGTTGAGCAAACTTCAGAGGACGGTGGAAGACCGGAAGGCCTGGCGTGATCTGGTCCATGGGGTCACAAAGAGTTGGACTCGACTGTGCGACTCAACAACAACAACAATTTGGAACTGGAACTTAACTGTGATCTGGAGAATTGTGAAGAGACCTGAAACAGGATGTGCTTGGACTGGTGAGGCGATACAGAAATGATTGAAGAAGCCTGAAATCTATCCATTTTATCTCCCCTGGGTTTGTTTATGTGTGTTTGTGTATCTGTGTACTAAAAGATGCTTAGAGGATTTTTATTTGATCAATGTCAGACTTAAAGTGTTATAAATTGGTAGAATAATCAAAGTGAAAATTTTTGGGGGGTCTGGATTGGGAAGATATTTATCATATTGAGTTTAATGTATGGTTTGATATTGGCTCTGATATTTTAATATTGAACCTGGTAAGATAGAAAATAAGAGGGAGGGGTAAATAGCAAAGATATTGGGTGACTAGTTGTATAACAGAATAAAAATATTTTTTTAAAAAAACAAGGAACCAGCTAAGAAAAATACTCCCCCAACATCTGCAGCATCTTCGCCTACCACACAGACTAAGTTATTGAGAACTATGTTGACATTAGAATCTCTGAAAGATTTTAAAAATGATATGCAAGTTATCTTTCAAACTAGCCTGAGTCAAATTCAGAAGGATATGCAAACTAAATTTCATGCAAGTTTAAGCCTGGTGCAGAATGATCTGCAAGACGGATTACAGTCGGACCTAAATCAGATGCAGACGGCCTTAATATAAGTTACAGATCAGATGAAAAACCTAAACACTGAGATTGGAGACGTAAAAGTTAAAATGACTGATCTTAACAAACAACTATTAGAAAATAAGAAGGAAATAACAGAGGTGGCACAACAAGCCAAGAAAGCTGAAGAAAAAGCTGAAGTAGCATCATTGAGGATGGACAGGTTAGATACACAGCAGAAGATGGCCCTGGACTCTCTGATTCAATTGGAGATGGATAGAGCTGCTTACCTACTGAGATTTCAGAATGTACCTGAACAAAAAGAAGAGATAGAGTTATGGCAGAAGGATTGGCGGACTTCATGGAAGTTGAATATGAAGAAATGGAGAGGGAGATTGACTTTTTATATAGAGCTAACTCTGCCTATACAAGGAAGAATAATCTTCCAAGGGAAGTACATGTGAAATTTACTAAGAAGTTGGTCAGAGGTCATGTGTGGAAAGAAGCACAGAATAATACTCTTAAAATACAAGACAAGGAAATAAAGATTGTAAGAGAAATTCCCCGGAAAATAAGACAAAGACGGAAAGCATATGTATTTCTGACCTCCAAACTGACAGTAAATTCAATTGCATTTCAATGGCTTACTCCAGAAGGATTTTTTTTCATTTGAAGGTCAAAGATTTAGACTGCACTCCATCTTTGAGGCAAAAGACTTTTTGGATCATTATGAAAAACTTTTACAAAGGCAAGAAACAACAAAAGCAAAAGCAAAAGTTACTGCAACTGAAGAAGAAGAGGAAGCATCAGCCTACTCAACAGCCTTGGATGAAGAACTTGAGGCCAGCACAGCCAAAAAACCATCCATGGAAAGTAAATCACAAAGAATGACAATGAGAAATAGAAATGGTAGTAATAAGAATAGATCATAATGGATTCATCAACAACCAAGATATTATCGGTAAATATAAATGGACTAAATTCACATGAGAAAAGAAGAAAGATATTTAAACAACTTAAGAAGATAGATGTAGATATTGTATGTCTACAAGAAACACACATTAGACATAAAGATGAACATTATTTGATCAATAAGAACCTTGGTAAGTTATTTACCACTTCAGACAATGTAAAGAAAAGAGGATTAGCTGTAAATATCAAAGAAAAATCAAAACCTATTTTGATATTCTCATCAGAAAATGGAAGACTCCTGCTACTTGAAATAGATATTAGAGACAAGAAAGTCTTATTTGTGGTGATATATGCACGGAATGAATCATAGGGTAAATTTTTTTAAATGATGAAGGAAACTATAACAAAATATGACTACATGGATATCTGTATAATTGGAGATTTTAACTCTGTTTTTGATCAAGACATTGACAGGAGAACCATTAAGAAGATCAAACCCCTCAAAGCTTTGCTTCCAAGATCTTTTCTAGAATTGGCTGAGGAATACAAACTGATTGATGTTTGGAGAACTAGAAATCCAACTGGAAAAGACTATACCTTTTATTCTGACAGACATAAATCTTGGTCCAGAATTGATATCTGCTGGATTACATCGAATCGTTTCCAGGAAATTGAAGATATGGATATTATGCCACAAACCTTTGCAGACCACAACCCACCATTGTTGAAGATTAAAGACAATCCAATTAGATGGAGATTTAATATACAATTACTTAAAAATGGACAATTTTTAGAGATGGCTAAGAAAGAAATGAAGACTTTCTTTCAACAAAATATGAATGAAGAAACATCCATGAAGACAGTTTGGGATACAAGTAAAGCCTTTTTCAGAGGACTGGCAATTAGATTTGCAGCAGGAAAGAAAAGAGAAAGAATGAAGACATTTCAAGATATAATAGACACTATTCAGAATAAAGAGAAAGAATTAAAGATGGACCCTTTGAATGAGAAATTAAAGATGAAAATTAAAATACTGCAGCATCAACTCAACTTACTCTTATCAGAAGAAATGGCAAAAATATTAAATTTGCTGAACAGGACTATTTTGAAAATTCAAACAAACTAGGAAGATGATGACTTATAAGTTAAGAAAAGAGAAAGAGAAAAGGATGATTCACTCATTGTATGATAGAGAGAAAAGAAGTATTTTCTAGGAATGGACTAAGGGAAATAATTCAAGACTTCTACACACAATTATATAAAAGAGTGGAAATATCCAAAGAATCTCACAAACAATACTTAGATGAGCAGAACCTACCCACAATTTCGGAAGAAAACAGAAAAACGTGTGAGGTACAGGAATCCAAAGTTTGCTCAGCACAGTGTTAAATCTGGAAGCAACTGTTTCAGAGACAGAACAGCAGATCTTAACTTTGGCCACTGAGTCTCACGCAAAATCATGTGTGGCAGTGTGCTGAGCAGCTGAACAAATCATGAGACTTTCTTTGCTCTTGGAATAGCAGCACCTGTGGCACCAGTAGCAGAAAATAGGAAAAAGGTTTTTGTTCCGAATTCACACAGGATGGTATTCCGAGCAAAAACTGAGAATTTTGAGGATCTATTAATCTATGATACTCCTTGACACTGAAGGAGATAGGTAAACTGGAGTTTCTTCCATTTTATTTTTCTGCTGTATTTTGGCTATAACACCCTTGTCCAGATGAACCTATCTTCCATGACTTTACACGGAAGCACAATTACATCAAAGGCTCCAATCAATCCCCCAGTCATGGTGGTCCAGGCTTAATAGAGAAATCTACTATGCAACCAATGTAAACAATTTTTCTTCCCCTGATAACAGCTGCCAGGTCTGCACTGTGACAGAGTTATTGTATCTTTAAGAACTGCTGACAAGGAAGTATTTCCCTATTTTTTCAGATCTCTGTGTTGCAACATACACTGTGTAATCTCCCCTTCCGTGCAATTTTTAAAGGTGCAGGAATATTTATTATTTGCATTTATATTTTAGGGTCTGGACCTCGCAATAATTTTATACCCTGAAATTATTTCTATGTAGATAAAACATTGCATACTGATTGGAAATTACTAGGAATAAATTACTAAGAGGCATACTAGGAATAATCTGAACTTTCTTAAATGTTCTGCCCGTTCCATGAGATTGTCATTCAGATGTTATAGGTGGGATCCAATATTGGAAGCTGGTTTAGGGAAATTGTAAGGATGCTACACAAATAAATTATGGATTATAAACACATATGTAGGATCAACCTGTAAGGACCTGTATAAGAAAAAGAAAATTTACAAACAAAGATCTCAGTAGGAAACCTAATAAATTATTCTGTGGGAATGTTAGTTATTTCTATATGTGCTGTGAATTTATTTTGTGGGCCCACTCTTTTTGTTTGCTGACTCTGAGGGTGTCTCATACCTGTCCAAATGCTACATGGATAAATAATCTCTCTTTATACATAATCCTGTTTTGGGGTGGCAAGATTCCATGCACTCCCTCAGCCATTGGCCCATCAGCCACCACTCAAGAGTACTCACGTGCCATTGGCCGGGTGCTGGGTCTGCTCCTCTTCCCTGCCCACTCCCCCTTCAGTCACTCTGCCCTGTCAGAATTACTTGCAAACAGCTTTCTCTCTTGATGAAGACACTCCTCCCGCTTGCCTCCTGTGTGGCTGTCGGTAGGTGTAACGAAATGGCAGTTACCTGTGTTTGTAAGATAGCTGCCGTCAGTGTGGTTGTTTGTTTAAAATGTTCCCCCATAAGGCTTAATTGAGCTGCAGTTCCAGAGAGGGACCTGCAGGGGTATCACTCATCGGGTTGAATGGGGCTTCCTCATCTGCTAGCCTACAGTTCCCAGCTGCTCCAAGGCCAAAAAGTGCGGGAAAAGCGAGACTGTCCCAAGGGGCAGGGCAGCATCAATATAGATTCCAGTCCATCCAGGGAAGCGGCCGTCTTTGTCCTACAGGAGGTTAGGAAACGCTCCTGCTGCCTGTGCTGATGAGGCTGTCCAGGCCACAAGCCACAGACATGGGGGAACCCTGGGAGGCAGCAGAGATTCAGCCACTCCACAGTTGGCTGGACTGGGGAATGAATGGAAGTTTCCCTGCTCTCTTGGGCAAGAGAGAGGCTGAAGTACAGGTGAGCCCACAACCTCCAGAGGTAGAGACTATTGTGTGAAGGGAAAGAGGATTGTGTTTAACCCCTGTTGATTTATGCCTGTTGGTTCATAGTATGTGCTTACTCCTACAGTTCTGCCTTATTCATTTAGTGTGTGTGTGCTCCATAATTGAGTAAATAGTTAAATAATTTTATTTGGGCTACTAATCTGTGTTGTGCTGTGACCACATAGTCTCCCCCGCTCTGCACAATAACAAAGGGAGGGGGTAGCCAAGAAAGCAAGGAAAGGCCAGACCCTATGGTTGCGAACTTTCCAGAGATCCCCCAAAGATTGGGGATTCCATCTCCAAATAGGGAGATTTGGCCAGAGGGGTCTCACTGTCCCTCTAAAAAGGCAGTGACAATTCTGTGAGTGGTGGTAGTGAATTTATGGAGTAAGATACACCCACGGGAGCTGAAGAGTCAGGGGGAAATAAAGGTAGGTTGATTGGCTGGGAAGGAGATACGGTTGCCAACTCCAGGTGGGAAATTCCTGGATATTCCTGGAGATTTGAGGGATGGAACCTGGAGAGGGTGAGGTTTGAGGAGGGGTAGGACCTCAGACAGGTACGATGCCATAGACTCCACCCTCCAGTGAGAGCCAGTTTGGTGTAGTGGTTAAGTGTGTGGACTCTAATCTGGGAAAACCGGGTTTGATTCCCCACTCCTCCACTTGCAGCTGCTGGATGACCTTAGGCAAGCCATGGTTCTGTCAGAGCTGTCCTTGAATGAGCAGTTTCTGTCAGAGCTCTCTTAGCCCCACCTACCTCACAGGATGTCTGTTGTGGGGAGGGGAAGGGAAACGACTTTGTAAACCGCTCTGAGACTCTGAGTGAAGGGCAGGGTATAAATCCAATCTCTTCATCATCTTCTCCCAACCACCCATTCCCTCCTGGGGAACCACTGTTGCCAATCTCCAGGAGAGGGGGAAATGGAAAGCTGAAGAGAGAGGGGGAAATAAAGGTAGGTTGATGATTGGCTGGGAAGAAGATAGGGTTGCCAACTCCAGGTGGGAATTCCTGGAGATTTTAGGGCTGGAACCTGGAGAGGGTGAGGTTTGAGGAGGGGTGGGACCTCAGAGGTACAATGCCATAGACTCCACCCTCCGAACCAGCCATTTCTTCCTGGGTAACAATTGTTGCCAATCTCCAGGTGAGGGCTGGAGATCACTCAAAATTACAACTGCTCTTCAGGTAGCAGAGATCAGTTCCCCTGGAGAAAATGGTGGACTCTGTGTCATTATACCCTGCTGAGGTCGCCACAGCACATTGATGCTGAGTGCCCAAGTCCTTGGCACTCTCCCAGAGCCTCTTTCTAGAGCTCATTGTATTTATTTTCACAACAGGCCTTATTCCTAGTATATAATAAATTATATGTATCACTTTGGCAGGACTGTGCAAAAACACTAATTGTAAGTTGAGGTATATTTCTACCCCAAGCCAAATTCCAGTGAAAAATATCCCACGATCAAGAGAATGTGTTTGTGGCAGAAGTGTTTTACAGTAACCAAACACACTGAGCTTGAAAACATACTTTCATGTCAGGCAGAAAATAACAATAAGATATTAACAGTTGTACATTTGTCATTGTTCTGGGGTATTTTTCTGCCTAAGAGCTCTAAGTAGTGAGGTAGATGTTCTCCAGCTTATCTTGGGGGGGGGGGGGTGTTATGGCAGCCATCTTCAGGAAGAGCTGCATCTCTGAAAAATTCTTCCTTAGAACATTGTTTTCTGGGGGGGATTTCATGGGCTTTTTGTGTTTGTTTAAAAATTCCAAATACATTTAATAGGCTGGGGTAAAAAGCATCCTGGGAGTCAAATTCAGTATCTTTTTTTGTATTCACAGTAATTTATTTATTTCTCCAATGGGGACCTAAAGCAGCTTAAGTTGTTCCTTTCTCCTCCATTATCCTCATAAGAGCCCTTTGAGGTAGGTTAGGCTGACAGTGCATGCCTGGCCCAAGGTCACCCAGTGAGATTCTATAGCATCATGGGCATTCACACCTAGGTTTCCCAGAACCTAGTCTGTCAGTCTAACCACTATCCTACACTGTAAGTGGCTACATTTTGGGAATGTTTCTTATGCAGGGTCCAGGTAAACAATACAAGTGTTAGCAATGAAGTTGGTGGTCCACCAATTCGACTCCCCTGCTAGCGCTTTCTAAACTGAGTCCTATGTATGTATGACTGTGAATTGGGTCAGTGGACCACCAACTGGGCCCTAAGTTACAGGTGCAAATGTACCAAGGGGAAAAAGTTATAAAACATTTATCTGTGAATTCTGACCAAAAAGGTGCAAAAGCATCCACCCCAGGTTAGGGATCTAAAGATGCTAGTCAGACTGTGTGCTTATATACGTTACACCCCACACATTCGCAAAAGGCTGGTATGGCATGATGGCTCCAGCACGACATGAAGACTAAGGAGATTGGTGTTCAAATGCCCACTTAAGACATTAATTTCAGCTGGTAATCTTGGGCTGTTAACCATCACACAGTCCAGTCAATCTTGCAAAGTTATTGTGAAGATGAAACTGAGAAGATCCATGCAACTTCTTAACTCCTTGGGGCAAGGGCAAGATAAAATGGAGGCCCTAGTCTGGTGTAACAAACTGCAGTACTGGGCTAGGATCTGGGAAAGTTTCAGGAGTCTAACTAGGATCTGGACTCTGATCCACTGGTTGACCTTGACCCTTTTTCTCGGCCTAACCTACCTAACCAACATGGGCGAACTGAACACATCACCTGAACTCCCAGGATGAACGACAATATTAGGAAATTATTTCTACTCATTTTATTTATTATTACCAAAATAATGCAAAAGGATACCGATATGACGACACGACGGTTTTATTTTTAATATTCGTATCGCATCCTTTAACCACAGTAGTCCTCATCGTGGTTTAGAATTTTTATTCTAATACAATAATCATATTAAAAAGATGTATGCTCCTCCGAATGAGCATAAATAAACTTTCGCTCTTCCCTTTCGAGGAAAAAGACGTCACGATCGAAAGTACCATAAAGCCGATTAAAGAAAAAGCAGCGCGAAAGGCTCGAGCGCGTTCGAACGGGAGAAAGAGAGAAAAAGGCGACGCGAGCGGTGACGGCGAAGAAAAAAGTGCTGAGTCACCCTTTGACGCGTTGATTCAACCCTCTAACTACCCCCTCCCCTTCCTTCTCGCGCACACGACACAGAGCGCGCGAGCCCCCGGGGGGGGGGGGGAGGTGTTCCCGCGCGCATGTCCGCCCTCCTTCTTCGCGGTCACGTGCCACGCTGCTGCCGGGACGGTCACCGCACAACATATACATAGAGCAGACGCTGCCCGTCGGCCTTCTTTGCTGTGCTTTCGCTTGTGCTACACGCCAAGGCGGGATAAATAAGACGCGGTTTCATCTTCCTCAGCGACGGAAGAAGATTGGGTGGGGGGGAAGAGATACCCGTGTCTGTCGGTAGATTCCTCCGCCTTTCCGCTCCGCTTGAAGTAGTTCGGTGGCCGTCAAACCAGCCCCCTCCCCCCCCCCCCCCCTTTCCCCGGGGCTTCTGTCGCAGGGCTCCCCGCTGAGCTGGGAGGAGACGCAGAAGCACGCGGAGCACGTGCGCAAACACGGCATCCTCCAGTTTTTGCACATCTACCGAGCCGTGAGGGAGAGGCACAAGGACGTGCTCAAATGGGGGGATGAGGTGAGTGGAGCGCTGGGGACGAAGAGCAAGAACGACGGGGACGGGTGGCGAGCCTTCAGTGGAGGGTGCCCTGTGCACGTGTCTCTGTGTATACAGGAAGAATAACAGATTATGTATGTGCCGGATTCAGAATAGCATTTATCGTTAGTTTGGATTAAATAAGGGTGTCAGTGTAATGGAATTAGAATTTCCTCACTCCCTGTGATTGAAGTGGAGAAGCTAAGTCTTCTGTGTGCCGAAATCCCATTGGTCTGAGCCCCTTTTTCACAGGAGGTACATCAGTTTTGTAAGTGTACACTTTTTGTACACCGCTAATTTGAAAGTAAATGTTGTGTTTGGAGATGTAGATGCACACGTTATTTGATCATCTTAAGATAACGTGAGTATTTGTGTCTGACCGTACCTTTTTGAAATGTGTTGCACAAGTGCCCTGAAAGGTAAGGTATTGTAAATCCCCCATCTTTTGATTGGGTATCTTGTGCTGCAACATGAGAAAGGTGCATCTGCTTCTTCCTGTGTGTGATCTTGGGCACGTTGCTTGTGAGGGAGATCTGTTGGTCTCAGTTGGATTTAGTCCTAGCTAAACAATGGCTTTAGTTCTGCTCTTTCTCTGTAACACACACATCACCTTCTATGAAGTCTGTGGCTGAAGTGGGCAGACCAAGTTCCTCTGTAGCCAAACTGAATTCTCTGTTTGCTAAACTTCTTCATTTGTTTGAGCTTACCTTTCACAAATGGTGCATCAGTTTTAGCACTGTGCTGTACTTCAAAAACATGTTGGCTTGGGAGTGTATCTAATCCAGTTTTCACTGCCTGTTGTTCATTAACATTTTAGCATATGAGAGATCCCAGACTAAAAAGTGCTTGTGGCATCATAAATCATCCTCAAGTTTCATTCACATACAGATGAGTGAGGGGTCGTTTGAATGAGCATCTTCCTTCCTGCTCTGATATTTCAGTGGCTACTCAGCTTTTTTTCTTTATGGATCTGTGTATGTTAGTGGAATATTATGTGTAATAATAACAGGCACAAGTTAGAGAGAATCTCCCTATAGGCCTTAATAGAAGCACAGAGGTGGTATGTGTGGAGCTGTTCTGTCGCTGCTAGTGCTAAAATTTATTCAAGTCACTATGTACATTTACAAAAGACATTAATTTCACCACTGATGGGCAACTACTTTTTTAAAAAATAAAGCTTAGCAACAATTGATGCTGCTGTTTGAATTTGTCAAGCAATACCTAATTGATAGCAGTAATGTCAGATTTTCCCTGTAATACACTGAGCTGTTTTAAAATGTACATACTGTAGTGCTAGAATACAAATACAAGTGTTTTGTATGTTTGGGAGGTGAAACTTCTAACTTCAGCATACTACAATTAGTACAGGCAGTCGTTCCAGAAGCCGCAAGCATACTGTGCTGAGTTTCAGTCATCCATTCTCTTATGTTGATATTGCTTCTGCAATCTTGTTTGTTTGCTTTGTGTACTGTGAGATAGTCAGTGATGATTGTGTGATTGTGAGGATCAGAGCTAATAAAATCAGAAAATAAAAACACCATAGAAAACTTAGGTACCCAAATCTCACGAGTGATATGTTGTGATCACTGACTGTGGCAGGTCTTTTATATCACAGAATTCTTCAGTGCTCCGAGTTCCTCATCCACTCGGAAGAGGTGAAGGGTTTACCTTGAAATTAATTTGTGCAGAGTACAAAATCTGATACGAGCATTACTTGTGGAAATCACCTCAAAGCAATATGGTTAAGCAGGCATAGAACTGAACTTGTTGAATTGGCATGGGCCAATCACTCACAGTCTAACCTACTTCACAAGGTCATTGTTCGAGGAATTCAGGGAAAGGAGATATAATCTACGGTGCATCCTCATTGAGGAGAAAGGCAGGGTATAAATGAAGGAAATAAATAAGCTCGAGATTCCATGCTGTATATGATCTTGTGCCACTCATTATCCTTGAAGTGTTACTACATTTAAAAACACTGGCTAATACCAATATCTGAGGAAACATGTGATGATCTGTTACTGCAAGGGTATTTTTGTAGCCTATGTGGAAAGCTTTTGAAGATGTAGGTTTGGCTGACCTTGGAAGTATGCATAGTACTTTGAACAAATGTGTTTGTTTATGTTAGTGAATACAGTAACATTGATTTTGAAAATTTGCCATACAGCTTGGTAACAGACATGCCCAAGATAATTGCACCACAATTATAAGAAGTTGCCGTCATAAGACATCTCTAGACTTGTGATGCCTAGGGCCACAGTACCTCACAGAAACTGAAAATGATTGCCCATAAAAAGCTGTTACATTGAATTAAATCCAAGGTTTGTAATATTAATTGCTTTAAACACACAAACACATGTCACTGAGCTGCGGGAGTGGAAATGGGCTTTGGCAACTGATTTTATTCTCAAGGAAGGAAAATGTGCATGAGCTATTTTTGTTTCCTTTGGCCCTTTTCATCTTTACTTACTGGAAAAAAGAATTTGACAAAAAATTGCAAGGTTTTCTTCATCTTTAGTGAAGGTGAAGGCATACAGTGTGATCCTAGACAGAGTTGTGGACTTAACGTGTTACCCTTTAAGACTGTGTTGTTGCCCTTTCAAAATCTTTATACTTGGGGTATAGGACAGCAATTTATGTACCGAACAAGTATATAATTTACATGGTTAAATGCTGTTCTTAGGCCCTAAGTCAGCCAAGTTCTTAATGAAGAATAGGTATATAAAAAAATTACATGCAGTCCTAACTTGCTTTATCCAGAGATCTTTTACAGGCTGTTAAAGTCAAAGTTTTTTCCCCTATGGGACAAGAATTGAGGAAAACATATATAATGAAGTTTAAGAAAAACAAAAAGATCTTAATTTGATATTAGTTATGATTATTATCTATAACTTCATCTTAAAGTTCATTCTGAATGTCAGCAAGGAAACAGATTAGACAATATATACTATTCTATTTAATATCATTTGTGGGCCGAGCAACATGTATCTTTTGCTTTATGTGTTTACAGTATGCCACCATGTGCTAAAGAGGAGGTTACAGACTTGATAGATGGGAAACCAAATACACACTTAATCAAAAACGGCCTTTTGTGGATATTTACAGTGTTATACTAAAGAGAGTTGCCCTCACTGGCGTAATCTGCGGGGGGGCTGAGGGGCTTGTGCCTTCCCCGAAATTTCCGCAGAAGCCCCGCCCACCTGCCACCAAGGAAGCC